AGAGAGAGAGAGAGAGAGAGAGAGAGAGAGAGAGAGAGAGAGAGAGACATTTTGGTGAGTAGATTTGAATACTGCAGTGGTGATGATGTTTGATAAATTTGTATGTATATTATTTTAGCCAGCCAGTGTACAGTTTACCGCAAAAGGATTTAAATTTTAACAAATAAAATGGCATCACACACACACACACACACACTCACCAAGGCACAACGAATGCTGTCAGTATGCAATAATGCTAACAATACTTTCGATTGTTTTCTAGATTGAGGAAAACAACACACCGTTACCGGCTTTTTGCATGTGCAATTATGAAACTAAAACTATACAGAGTTTTGTCTTCTTAATACAATTTAATTTTGAAATATTTATTATTCGGTAAAAGTCGACAAAAAAGTTTTGTTTTAAGTGTACTGACAACACAACATTTTTTGGCATCGAACTCTCGCATTTTCTTGGGGTGCTTTTTCCGTTCGTTTGTCACAGCAAATAACAGTGATTTTGCGTGTTTGCTTTTAAAATTGGCCAAAGCCCTTGCCAAACGGGAGACCAATTTTTAATTGCGCATGATTTAAACGGGAAAAAATCAAATTCAAATTCTGTAGCAACATGAACAAAAAGGTAGGGGAGGTGGGGGCAGACTGATACACTTTTTTTTTCAATTTAGAATATTATAGCCAAATGAAAAGATATCGAAAAACTTTGGATACTGTTTGAAAGAGGATTGAAAACCCTAACTTTCTGCATCACTAGATTTTTTTATTGTTGATGTGGCTAACGCCACGAGCCAAAAGTTTGAAGTGATAAATTTGGGGGCACAGTGATACAGTGGGGGTAGAGTGATACAGGCTGGGGGCAGAGTGATACAGTGATACACCTCGATTTTGTGATTTTTTTACGTGATTTTGTTTCTTATTTTTCTAATTTTGCTCACATTTGTTTTTGGTCATTAAATGTTATTTTGATCTGTTTTGGATTCGATTTTAACTGATTTTTGGTTAAAAATAAAAAGAGTTGAAGAAGAAGTGATATACATGTGAAAAAAGTTCTATGAATGAAAAAAATAAAAAAAAAAATAAATCGAGAGCCTATCTTCCATTTCAACGTCGGAATCAGATTCGTCATAATAGTTTGCAATGTCTTCTAAAAAACAATTGATGAACCATTTTTGCGAATCACTATGAAAACATAATGCAAACATGTTCAATCTACGTATTGATCCTCGAATTTTGTAAAAAAGCCAAATAAAATATTTAAGAAATGATAAAAATTGCAAACATTGCGAAATACTGCTGTATCACTTTGCCCCCAACAAAGTGTATCACTCTGCCCCAGGCATGTTTTTCACTTTCGGTCGAATTTTTTCAGCAACCCGTGGATAAAATCTAAAACATTTATTATTAAATGAAAGAAGGCCGTCGGTATGAACTCCAATACATTTTTTGTTATTAGTGCTGCTTCTTCTTTTTCTCACTATGGGCGCAACCATTTTCAAGCTAAAAGTCAAATGGATGCGTTTAATGAAACGTCAAAATGCGCGTATGGCTAATTTGTTCTAAACGTGTATCTGTAGTTAAGTTTGAAGCTAATGTGTGAATAATCAAATAAATAGTACTTTTTGTATTAAAAATAAAAATAAAAGAATAAAATTAGCTGTGTAAAATTTTATCGGCGCCTATACAAGTCGATTCAAAAAAACTGTAAATGGAATACTGCACAATAAGCCAAGAAAACGAATAATTTTATCGGCACAGAATATTTTTTAAGCCGACAGAAATATCTTTTGCCACAATATTGCTATTAGTTGCAAACAAATTATTAAACATATTTTTCGACTTTACTTTATTTTATTTTTTCTTACCTAGAATAACTGTGATCCAGAAATATATGATTTCTTTCGTCCTGCATTGTATTCACAAACTTTGTTCACAAGCAAATGTTTTCATTTCAACATTGCGTGTGGTACTATTTAGTACTTTGCATTTTTGAAATTCCATTAAACGCACTTATTTAAAAATGAATATGCCAATATGGCTGCACCCATAGTGTAAATAAGAAGAAGCAGTGTCTATTTAGCAACTGCATACCGGTGAAGAAGGCTTTAATAGCAACAGATTATATTCACCTCAATCCTGGCATATGAAAAGAAATTTTAAAAAATCGAGATTCTAAAGTGTGAAAAAATGGTAACGGTATGTGCCGAAAACACAAATTTGACTGTACGACGACTATCGTTGGTTCGACGTACTGAGTGTGTCTTTGCCAAGTGTGTGCCTATTAACAGCTGATTTGAATACAACAGTTTGACATTTTGTGTTACCGTTTTAAAAAAAATTGGGGTGTATCAGTGTGCCCCGTGTATCACTCTGCCCCCATTTCCCCTATGAATAATTATAAATAAGAAATTTGTCATAATATTTTTAATATTCAAAGTGAAATAAGAAATGAAATAATAGTGAGAGATAATGCGACCACGTAGAAAATCGGTATTCATAGCACGAAAACAAATTCGTGCATCATTAAGAGGCCTGGGAATGCCTGTCCGAGATGACAGCGTTGACGACATGGCATCAAATAATTCATCAAATCGTTCGCCCAGTCGTTCACCAGCTGCAAAACGATCACGAATAGATGCCAGTGATGCACCAAGTGGTGTAGTTCCAGCTCAAGCTCAAAGCCAAGCATCAGAATCAGGTACCATTATTATTTTAAAAAATAAATCTGCTACTTTTTCCGATACATTTCTTGAATACAATCGATTGCATTTGATACAGTGTTGTTGAGTACGAAATAAAAATGGATTGTTTCTTAATTACCGCTCTCACAGTTAGTTCGACAATGAGACCAAATGAGCAAACGAAACAACGTCGCCGGAAAGCCAATCGAACGGGATTTGATCGACCAAAGAGAAGGAGACCACAACAAAATCGGCCAACAAATACTTCAACAAGTATTTCTGGACAAACGCAAAATTCTGCGAATTTGCCCGATTGTGTCGCTTTCATAAATCAAATGGTAAATGTTTTTTTTTCTGTTAATTAACGGCATATTTTTGTATAAATTTGGTTGAAAATGTGATTTATTTTATTTATAACAACAACAGCAGCCCATCCAAATGAGCATGGTAAATCAAATGGGTGGCCAAATGACTCGATCACCAAGTCCATTTCCATCCACATCAACATCAAATGTGAATCACGTGCCACTGAATGCACCAAATGCCATTCCACAGCCATCCACATCGACAGCGGTACACGAGGAAGGCGACGAGGTCGGCAACAACGGCAACGAGGGCGACGAGGACGGCAACAAAAACCGTTGCCAGTGCCACGCGGTTTTTTGTTTGAGACGCACAGCAAATATGACTGGTAAATTTAATACATATACTTTTATTCATATCGCCAGTCTATATATTTCGGATGGATATCCATCCGAGATATTTTAGAATATCTGGATATTCAACGCAACTGCACAGCGCCAGAGCTGTGTGCGTCGCAAATAGAATCTACGGTATGTCGCGACGTATATGTATATCAAGTGTCGCACGTACACAGTCACACTGTGTCTGTATTTTACGTGTAGCGACATACCGTAGATTATATGTGCGACGCACACAGCTCTGGCTCTGTGCAGTTGCGTTAAATATCCAGATATTCTAAAATATCTCGGATGGATATCCATCCGAAATACATAGACTGCATATCGCATATTCATTCATTCACCACTGAACTAAATTTCAATTGATTTTAATCTCTTTCTCCATCATCATCATCAAATTTTCTATCACAGGTACAAGTATGTTTACGAATTGTTGAATTTACAACATGTAATCCATGCGCACAATGCAGTCAATCCGTTAACAACAATAACAACAACAATGATGATGATGGTGATGATGACAATAATGCAGTTCCGAATCCAGAACAACCGGATCCAGTGCCGCCAATCATTCAACGTGCTTACGATTCAGGTCAGATAAAAAGAATTATCGGTTGTGATCCGGGCTACAGAGAATTTGTGAGGGTCGTACGCAAAGATTTGGCAACCGATAATGAAGAAAATTTTCTGAAATCATCGAAAGAGTGGCACCATATGACCGGTTTTTTCGACCGTCAATACAAACTGTTGCGATTTACGGGTGCGTTTGAGAAAAAATGCCGTAAACTGCGTGAAAATCGCGAAATCTATTAGGAAACGCCATCGAAGAAAAGTGCCAACTACCGTACCTATCTGGATTACCAGCTGGATGTGGTGACCGGTCATCTATTAATTATTTTCGTTATTATTATTGCAAAACTTATTCAATTTATACAATTTTGCAATTTTATTTGCAAGAAAAAAATATATTGGAACCTGGCGTGAAAGAGATGGCGCTTCTTAAATCGAGTCGCGTTCAAATACATTGTCAATATACAACGCAAGTGATACTCGTCATAGATACACGACTATGATAACTGTTTTGAAAAATAAATACCTTTCCTTTCTGTGTCAAACCCAGGACTATTGACTGTAAAAACAGTCAGCTAACTATAAAAGTGAAACACATTTCCCATATAAAATTTTCGTTTTTTTTGTGATTTTTATATGAAAAGTGTATCAAAAATTGGTTGTATCTCTAAATAAATGTCAGATTCGGTTTTCTCGTGTCAAAAATGATTTTTTTTTTGTTTGTTATCAAAATCACTTCAAAAATTTTTTCGAAAAATTTGTGTATATCATAGTGAAGTACAATAAAACACGTAGCCTCAAGAAATCATAAAAAGCCATGTTTAATAGAAATACCTAGAAATATTTTGTCTTTTTTGTGGGGAATTTATGTCCGAAATATTGAAGAAAATAATTCCTTTTTAAATTTGGTCATATTTTCCTCAAGAAAAATATTTTATTTTCGGGAAATTATGGCCAAAAAACCGGGGAGACTATTTCCAATTCGGTTTGGACGTAATTTCCCGGGGAAAATATTACCAAACTGATGGAGAATTTATATCCAAAACTGAATGGATATAATTTCCCCAGATATTTTTTTAAAAATTTGAGAAAATATGACCAAAATTTGGGGAAATTGTAACCGGGGAAGATATGTCCTGTAGCCCTGGATGTATTCAATGAATCATGCGAGGTATTTATTTTTTGTATATTTTTCTCTCTCTCTCTCTTGAGTTGATTTCATTTGATTTCATCTTATTGATGTCTGTCGTTCATTCTTAATTTATACAGATAAAGTATCAAAAACATGTAGTTCGTTTATAGTTTGATGCATATACACGTACGCAGGTAGCATTGCATGTGTTGGTGAAGCAAATGACAAAAGTCGATCGTAGAATGTCGAAGGCTGAGAAAACAGTGATATTTGCATTTGGTGGTGCAAAATTTGCATCAAACTTCCCAATGAAAGGATATCTACGTTGTCCGCATCGTGCATTGCAACAAATGGCACGTTAATATGTATTCGTTTTGCCAATCAACGAACACAATACATCCCAGAAATGCAGTCGATTAGGACGTAAGCTGAAGAAACGAAGAAGTGTGCCAGAATGTCAATCAAAAGACCAGTAAGTTGTTTTCGATTGGCATACCATTGCCAATGGATGACATTATTATTATTGATTGTATTTGCTTTTCTTCATTGTTGAACAAACAAAAAAAAAATCAGTTTTCTAGAGTGCCCCAACTGTAAACCGGTTGAAGATGGTGTTTTTCACGATTCAATTCAATGGACAGGCAGAGTTCATCGTACTTTCAAAAAGAAACATCCAGAATGTAATAAATCCGAATTTACATTCTATCGACCGGTTCCAGAAGCAAATCCAAATCCACCGCCAAGACAAAAGAAAAAGAGATACAAGAAGCAGTTGGAACCGAAAACATCAGTTAACTATTATATTCAATCGCGACATAAATGCAAAATTGTTTTCGACCATTCAGGCATCAACTCCATTATTATCACAACAATTAAAATCAAAAATTAAAAATATAAGCACGGACGTCTACGCGTACATTCTCATAATGGGAATCTCATTGTTTGAAACAATGATACCAAGACGTAGTAGTGGACGATGCTAACAAGTACTAGAAATAGTAAGCATATTAATTTTTCTCTTTCACAGTGATCAACGATCTCAACACTACTAATGCTACAATGAAATCTTAAATTTGAGCAATATTGTTGTTGTGGTCATTGATTTTATAAGTATATACTTTACTTAACTATAAAGTATATATTTTTTTTATAATTTCATTTTCCATTCTGTTCCATTACGCATTGATTAATTTCCATTTTTTCCATTCTTTTCTTCTGATCAACTCTAGGTATATTTTCTACATTGTATCGTATTTCATAAAAACTAATATCATTGAATTTAAAAAAAAATATAGGGATAATGTGGTGTTTCTTATATTTGGCAGAAGATCAAATATATTCTGAGTTTGGTTTAAATTATGTATTTCTATTTATTTATTTATTTTTTTGTTATTCATGTTTGAATCTCAGTCTGTTTAGTGCGTTCAAGTGATCGCCTTTTCTATTTACATTGCCTAGTCGATGTTGCATGCATTCGGTAGTTAATATTCGGTTTGGATGAACGGGATGTAGTATTTGTTATTTTAAATCTGATGTGAGGCCTTTAAGTATTTGCCATTTATGTTTGATCGGTAAGTGCACAATGGACGGTTCGTCAGATGACAATGCATGAGTTAAGTATGACAAAAACGGTGGATATAGTTACGGAAAAGTATGAAGAATAATGCGCTTCTGATTAATAATAAATTAGATGCTCATTCTGTAAGTATTATTTAATAGTGATTGTAATCATCGTCATATTATTTAGTCGCATTTATCGTTTACAACTGGAAACCGTATTATTCTCATTTCATTGCCATAATCACAGACCACTGAACCACTAGCAAATAGAATTTTTTTCGAGCATAGATGCGAATTCAAACAATCTAATTTAATTTCACGTGTTAATTCACCATTTCGTACATCCCAAATGACCAATGCACCTGTTGATTGAAAAAAAAAAAAGATTATTTACGAACGAAATACAACATTTTCTCGAGTTTTGACGAGTAAATGTTTGTGGAATGGAATATTTATTTACCAGGTTTAGCTGTGATGAGTAGAGACGGTGTCAACATCAATAAACTTGTATAAACGTAAGGCACGTTGATTGTGTTGAGCAAATTCCCTTGAAATCGCTCCCAAATGTAAAGCCGTTCATCCGTGCCCATGGAAATCACATAACTCGATGAACAAATCAATGACACGATTGCACCATCATGTGCTTGTATGCTGTACATGCAGGCACCGGTTATTAAATCCCATACACATAGTAGACCGTCTTGTGAACCAGAACCACCAGTACAACTTTGGTAATGATCAATAAATATACTAGTTATTGGACCGTAATGGCCGTGTAATGTAAACACCAAATTGGCTAAATCTAATTTGAAAACCTGGTAAAAATGAACAAAAACACAAATTATGAACAATTTAGACAAGAGCGTTGAAAGAAATTACCTTTAATGTATGATCTTGGCTTCCGGTTAATACAGTATTGCCAACAACATCCATACAGGTGATTAGCTGTTGATGTCCTTGGTGCTGTTGTTCCAAGTAACATCGCATCTCCTCATGACTACTCGATGCAATGGGCGAAAGATCACCACCTTGGCTTGCCATCTGAGCACTTGATAGGCTTCCCGTTGAGCCAGTTCGCATGTGCGCTGTAAAACGTTTTTTTAAAGGATTTTCATTCGGAAACACATGAAATATATACTTACTTCGACGATAGGCCGACATGAAACCCCAATCAATTTGCCGTCCCTGATTATAGGTTTCCAATCGCAAAAAGTCAATACGACCATTGAGCCGAGCAGCTACTAACCGATCGCCACTCAAGTGTAAATGAGTTATTCCATAATTTTGCTTTCCCTCGCCTTCATATATACACTATTAAAACCAAGAATTCAAAAATAAAGGAAAATGTGTTAATTTAGCTGAAGAAATGAAGTGTGTATTATATCTGTTGTATTATACCTTGAGGGTGCCGGTTGTGCTTTCCCAGAATTCAATTTTTCCGTCGGCACAACCAATTACAATTAAATTATCAGTATAATCCAAACACCAAATCGGCGATACTTCTGGTTTTTTTGTTGGAGCCGCTTTTTCACTGGGCATTGCAGTCATTGTGATTGGTGCTGAACCGTCATTACAAACAGACGGTGTGTATGAACCTGACAATCGTCGATTTATATTAAAGTAATTTTTACGATTTATCACACTGATTTGTTCACCATTCGAGACGTCCCATGTGGTGATTTTTCCATCAAGACATGAACATGCTAACATTCTGCCATCGGTTACCATGCACTCAATTCGATGGCTATGACCTTTTATTTGAATTGGAATACTTTCAAAAATTCGTTGTGTTTTTGGATATGCAATGTCCATTTTTGAATCATTCCAACTTGAACGCCATTCTGCATAATTTCGACTACAAATACATCGATAAAACACAATCATTGCATACGACGTCACAAAGATACTGATCATACAAAGAATGGTGGCTAGCAACATTTCCATTGGTGTTTTTGGATATAATGGTGTTGAGCCAATGTTGTAGCCACCCGAATTGGTTAAATGATAAGCAATTGATCCTTCTTTTTCTTCCATATCGGCAAAATCAATGGGATCCAATGCGATGGCCAGAGCTTTCCATTGGAAATGAAGTTTTGGTTTTTCGTCAATATTTCGCAAGTAAATCGCTTCGTCTGGTGTAACAGCATGCGAAATACGAATCGTTGGTAGAATTGTTACATATTTTCCACTCACCGAAATGTTGTACTGTTTTAAAATTGATGACCAATGGAAATTCGATAAATGCAAATTTACATCATAGTCAGGATGTCGTAGTTTATTTAATTGTTCAGTCATATTATATTGCTTTTCATCAAAATATGTGCTCTTAGGTTGTGAATCACTTTCTTTGGTCACATACGATACGCTATCACCAGTCTTGATATCAATAGTCGAAATTTGCATTCCATGCGATGGATAAGTTTCAAAACCACTATCATCCGTCAATTCGGTGTTATTTTTTCTTTCTATCACAAAAATATGCTCGAAAATACCGGAATTGTAAACAATTGAACAAATCCAGACGATCATCCAGAGCATAAAGGCACGTTGAAAGAACCGTGTTCGTGCCCAAAAGTTAAAAATTTTCAAACGTTTTGGTATCTTTTTAGCTTCGGCGATGGCGTTGCCAGCGGCCACGACATCTGTTGGTTGCATGGAATCCTGAGCAACGGAAAATTTTGGATGTGATCGAGATCGACTCATTGAGGTGGATTGTACTTTGGGTGTATTTGCCAAATAACGATACGGAACTCGTTGTGCCATATCCGGTACATTTGATGATTTCGCTATGCTGCTAAATTCAATGCGTCGAATATTCAAGGCAAGAATGGTGGAAAAGAGCAACATTTGCATGAAGAAATCCGATATTAGGCCAACAATGGCAAATATACAAAACTCTTGAATCACTGGTACAAATGTTATCAAACCAATGGTCAATATTGTAATTTCCGTAAGTAGTGTTTTTGTAATCGACCATCCTTCTTTGCTGAGCCCTTGTGCGACACGAATTTTCACATCAAATTTCTCATCGGTGGACACAACACTTTTTGTGATGACCAGCACATTTTCCAATCCAAACAACATTATCAGATACGGTAGTACGTCACGAGATTGCATGCTTATTGTTAATCCAAAGAAGAAATATAATCCCAATGCCATCATCAAACTGCTCAACACTGTTACTACCTATTAGAATAAAGGTTGATCAGAAGAAAAGAATGACAAAAATGGAATCAATAGGTAATGAAATAGAATGGAAAATGAAATTATAAAAGAAAGTATATAGTTTAAGCGCAAAATCAATGACCACAACAACATTGCTTAAATTTGAGATTTGGTAGTAGTAGTAGTAGTAGTAGTGTTGAGATCGTTGATCACTGTGAAAAGAGAAAAAAAATGCCATTATTTCCAGTACTTGTTAGCATCGTACTACGTCTTGCGAAAATTTGATTCAGTGTCATCACCACGGTGAATATTTCTTGGTTTTTATTCGTTGTTTCACCTCGTTTTGCTCTCATTTGATTTTGGTGTTTCAATAGTTTTTTTGCCGAAGTTTGACGAGTTTTTTCTGTTGAACGTCGTTTCGTCTTCTGTCAACTAAAAAAATTTCGTCGAGTTTAACCGAACAATAAATATTTTAAAACTTAACTGTATCAAAAGATCAAAAAGACAATTGTTTTAAAATAAAGTATACGTCCGAGCATTTCAATTGTTGTTCACAGTCTGCGTCTGCGTGTCTCACTTTGAATCGACTTGCTATGGCTACTAGCACTGTAATTCTAGTTTCATGTTTGCACATGCCCAAAGCCGGTAATGGTATGTTGTTTTGCTCGATTCGGAAAACAATCGAACGTATTGTTAGCACTATTGCGTAGTGATAGCATTCATTATGCCTTGGCGAGTGTGTTCCATTTTGTTTGTTAACATTTTAATCCTTTTCAATCCTGCAATTCAAACGCAGTTTTGTGGTTCTTCGTAGTGACAAACTGTATAAATTTTCTTTTCACTGACTGGCTAAAATAATATAGATACAAATTTATCAAACATCTTCACTTATTATTCAAATCTACTCACCAAAATATGTGTGTCTCTCTCTCTTTGTGTGTGTTACTGCTGTTATATGTCCGTCCATTCGCTGCACAATGTTGTACACTTGTACACACATGACCCCTTGGTCATCTCTCTACTACCAATTCTCAAATATTTGTCAGCAATGTCTTTGCTGTTGCGATTGTTTGTGGTAAAACTATATAGTTTCTTACATTCTAATGGTTTCCCAATCATCTCTCACTCACTCAGTCATTCACATACATTTCTGTTTCCATCATCATCATCGCATCGTCATCGTCATTTGAAAAATCTCATTGTACATATTATAGAATTAATGTGAATGATGATAATGGAAAATGAATCGAAGGAATGAATCAGGAATCTTAGAGTAATGGAATAGTAATTTTTAAGTAAGTATGCCTGGGTTATTACCGCACTCACTGCCAACACGAAACGTGATTTGAACACATCAATTTTTCGTACAGAAAAATAGACATACATAAAAACAAGCAAAAAAGCGATACACATTGGTAGACATTCAACAACATTAAATTCACCGGGATAGTATATGTATGTGATTGCTTCACGGTATGTTGATTTTGCCACATTTTCTTGATGCAATGGATATGCTTGCATCAATTTCTGCTTCAACGATTCTATAAAAATCGGATCATTTTTTTCCAATACCAATGTAATTGCGTACTGAATTATTCTTGGCCGTACTCGTATTGGGTATCTTTTAACACCCGTATCACGCAAAAGCATACCAAAGAGCATTTCTGCTATTGATACCTTTGACTTTTGTAAATTCTGAAAATAAATGATGATAACATTAGAATAAAAACCACAAAATAAAAACAACAACACCAAAAAATATGTCAAACGAACTTACATGATGATGAAAAATCGTTGATAGAAGGTTTGTGTCTTTTTTAAAGTTTTGTGCATTTTGTTGCCATAAATTTGCCGGAGATAGGATCAGACAATTGTATTCGGGAAATACCGATGAATATTTTGTGAACATTTTTACATTTTCCACATGCAAACAGATGTTGGCCAAATTTGTTTTGCTCGTTTCATCTTCATGATTTCGAACGATTTCCAATAGTTTGAAAATTTCATGTAATGGACCTCGATACGCATCCGTAAGCAATAGATTTTTTCGCCATGGCAATACACTCGATCGAATCACAATTTGTTGAATATAGACAAATGGATCGCTATTCGCCCATGGAAATGGAGGTTGTTCATACGATGCATTGCTGGTGGAGGTGGATCCTATCGGAACGCTGGAACTGGAATTTATTAAAATCGTTGGTGATTTTATGGTTGCTTGTTCTTCGTACGGTAGAATGACTTTGGTCGGAATCGTTCCGGGCAATGGAATATTCAATAATGGATAGCTAGTTGACAAAATAAAAAACCGAAATTTTCATTATTTTCGTTGAAGCAGTACATTAAATTTCTATTTGTCACTTACCATGAAAATATAACCATAAAAATTGCCAAACTGGACGCACAGGTGGGATAACTCGACAGAAACAAGCCATGCTTGTAGTACCATTGAGCGACACGGGATGGAAGCTCACTTTTTGTTTCCTTTACATGATGGCTTTTATTAATTTGAGACATTTTTACCGTAATGGCGATTTGTTTGTCCACCAATCAAATTTTGCTGAACAAAAGAAAAAAATCAACTATTCTGGTGAAAAACACTTCATCGAGAATTCACTTGGGACTTAAATAATTATGGCCGTTGTTCGTTATTGAATTGAAATGAAAAATGTTTCGTTGTGAAACTAATAAATACAATAAACAAATAACTGAAATCAAATGCATACGGCATGTAGAATTTTTTTAAAATTTGTTTATACTTCTTCTCATCAGATGTTTTGATTTAATTGTTTTGTTGATTTAGATTCGATATGCGGATGGAACTGACACATCTTCCAATCGTATTGTATGATTTTCTGTCCGCTTTTTATTTAATTTCTTTTTAATTTTCATTATTTCAAATCGAAACAACGATTTTAATATTCACACAACTTTGATGTCAATCGTCGAACGTGCACTATTTATGTTTATTTTGCTTTTTTTTTATCGGAATTTTTCACTTTGACGTAAAACCATATATATAAAAGTCACTTGGCTTTTGGCAAATATTGTTCTTTTTTAAATTGTTCAAATTGCCAATGCTCGAATACAGCATGTTTCATATACGAATTACCTAATATAATGTTTCTACAATGTCGGTAAATGATGTCAAATTGTTTTTGGCGCTAGTTTTTGTTTGTCAATTTAACATTATTTAGTGATTTTTATTTTTATGTTACAATAAATCAACAACACGAAATTATTTTCTTTTGTGTGCATACAAACGATTATACGAAGCATCGATCAACGAGATTGAAGTCGTAATATAATAAATGGTTTTTGATTACGCCGTACTCATAAAGCAATGTGCGAATGCAAGATCATACGAACATCGAAACATTAGTCATTCAATAATCATATGTTTACTTTTTGCACACAAAAAAATTAAATTCGGCCCAACGACCCACAGGCCAATTTTTTTTCAATCGGCGGTTTCGCACAGTTCGATTCACAACACTTAAAATATATGTGTATATACTTTTTCTGTCATTCAAATCGCTATGGCCAATTCTTGTCGAGTTTTTTTTCACCTTCTCTGATTTTTTTACTTTGTATGTTTGTGTTGCTATTCAAATTGGTGATATCGATACAAGTACATACGCACTCGTTCAAATTTGCGCTTCAAAAGCAGCACACATCGTTGTTTTAGCACTTTTCTATAGTCTATCGCGTTTATTTACCAGTTAATTGCAAAGACAGTGTGAATTTATTGAAAATGCGTCTTGTTCATATTTTCACCACTTTCTAGCGCGCGCTCTTCCTTTCTCCTTTGTTCTTCTTTGATGTGTAGCTTTCTTTCTTTCCTCGTCTAACACGTTTTACAATCGTTGGTGTTTGTGTGATTTTTTTTCGTTTTATAATTTAAATGAGTTCGACTTTAATGAATTTGTTATTAGAAACGAACTACATACATATAACTTATTTTTACAATGTGTTCACTGACATATGTGCTAAGTGCTATTATTGGCGCCTTTTGACTTATTATTACAGTAAACCAACATGTGCAAAATTGCGATGTTATGTACGGTTTCCATGCATGATTACTGGCTCACTATTTTGATTTTTTACTTATTTATCGTTCGTAATCTCAAGAGTCGTCACAAAAAAAATTGGTATTTTTTCAATTGAAACGTTTCAATTAAATAATGGTTGAACCAATGGAATTTTAGCTAAATATATACGCAGAAGATACAAACAAATGTATTGTATATGTGCATGTAAACCGTGCATTATGTTTTTGTTTGTGTTATGTCAAATTGACAGATGATATGTTATGAACAATGATTTTAACATTTCAATGATGTCATTTCTGAGTAATCGAACAATCATAAGAGATGTAAATAAACTGAACGGTATTGGAACATTGTTCGACTTTACTTAGCTTCTCAACATCAACCTAAGAAAAATACCTCAATTGTTGTACATTCACTTGAGTTTATAAAAAAAAAAATTTGCTGTTGTAGAAAAAAATACATTTGCATTCATAGTATTCAATTGTATTATAATTTAGTCGTTTGCCATTTGTATGTAGACATAATGAAATCGATTCATTTTGAATCGACACATTAACAATTTTATTTTAAACAAATTATTCAATTAATTATTTCGAAAATTTGTATATTAGTTGAAATTATTCAAAATGTCCGAAAAAGAGCTTATTCATAATATATTAAGCTCAGCGCTCGACGCTGATGAAAGTGGTGATAAAGAAAAAGCGGTTGAACTGTACACAAAGGCAGTGGAATTTGTATTGAAAATAAGTGATCTGGCATTGCGTGAACGTTTGAACAAATATGCGGTACAAGCACTTGATCGTGCTGAAGAATTGCGTGGTATTTCATTGCCGTCAGACAAATCACAAGCTGCATCATCTGTTGATGAAGGTCATGCCAGCCATCAACGCGTACAGAGTAATTTTTCTTTAAATTTGTTTCAAGTATCGATATGTGTTTAACTGATTATATTTTAGGTACAAACATTGCACGAACGGAAATAGATAAGCCCGTACCGAAACCGAGACTTTCAGGCACTTCATCGGGATATACGGAAGAAGAGAAACGAGTGCTGAATCATACATCGAACATAAATGAGAATATTTTTGTGCCTTTCATGGATGTTGATTTGAGAGATCGATTCATATTCTCTATACCATTCACTGATAAAGTAAAGTCTCTTATAAATGATAAAATAACTAGCAACCGATTTGCAGAGCTGTTATTGGCACCTGAAATTTGCGGTCACTCACTTGGGTAGTAACTTAAATGGGAACCTATGTGAAAATTTGTGTAGAGATTGATGAAAACAGTGAACCTTTGGTTGTGTTTTCATCTAAGGCTCCGTACCGCTCCGCACATCTCTGCGTTCACATTTAAACCATTTGGGTAATGCACGCAATAATTTTCCAATATAAGAGAGTGCAGCAGTTACAAGAAAAGTGTCAGCATCCGGGTGGTGCCTATAATATCTCTGCCATTTAGAATATACAATGAAATTGATTTTTGTCTTTTAAGGATGGATATTTAGCGTTGGCACCAAAGCAAAGGCGTGACTTCATTGAATGGCGTCGTGTTAGCGAACTATGTGAAAATCCCAATTTAATTGTTGGCAAATTTGTAGATTATCATAGCATCAAACAAACTGTGATATCCGATTGTAGTTTTGTGGCTTCGTTGGCTGTGTCTGCATTGTACGAGAAGCGCTTCGGAAAGGCTTTGGTAACATCCATAATTTATCCAAGAAATTCGAAAAATGAACCAATTTACAATTCAAGTGGCAAATATTCGATTAAACTGCATATCAATGGCATTCAACGGAAGGTTATTATCGATGATTATTTGCCGATTGGCCGATACAATCAACTGCTGTGCTCTTATTCGAATAATAAAAACGAATTTTGGGTATCATTATTGGAGAAAGCGTACATGAAAGTGATGGGTGGCTATGATTTTCCTGGATCTAACAGTGTAAGCGCTATGAATCAAAAATCAAATTATTTTCATAAATTCTTATTTGCTTTTTGTCTTGGCCACATCAGAATATAGATTTGCATGCATTAACTGGTTGGATTCCAGAGCGTATTGCAATTCGTATGAAAGATGAGACTTTCAATGTGGATGCCGCTTTTGATCGGTTGGAAACAGCACTGTCACATGGAAGGTGCTTGATTACAGTTGCCACTGGTGAATTAACTGACGATCAAGCTGAACGCACTGGTTTAGTTCCAGCACATGCGTACGCTGTTTTAAATTTGAAAGAAATCAATGTAAGTCACAAAAATGTACACATTATCTAAAATCAGTTGCATATTTTGAAATGTCATTTATAAAATAGGGAATCAAACTTCTTCAATTGAAAAACCCTTGGTCACATCTACGTTGGAAGGGTAATTATTCCGAATTGGATTCAGTACACTGGACGCCAGAACTTCAAGAAACATTAAACTACAATCCAAAATTGGCCGAGGTTCGAATTATCATATTACTTGAGATATGTTGATTAATTTTTCCCAAAACAATTACAGCAATACGACAATGGTATTTTTTGGATCGATTATCCATCAATTTTGAATTTCTTCGATGTATTCTATGTGAATTGGGATCCAAATTTATTTCAACACACATATTGTATACATTCATCATGGTCGGCTGGTGTAGGTCCGACCAAAGATGCATACACAATCGGTGATAATCCACAATTTTGCCTACGCGTTGCGCCTGGCCAGGGCTCAGTTTGGGTTTTATTAACCAGACACATTACTTCAATCGAAGATTTTCGAGAAAATCATGAATACATCACACTGTTAGTATATCAAAATGGTGGAAAACGAATTTATTATCCATGTAAGTACAGATTATTACAGTCTCTGTCTTCTTTCGTACAGAAAGTTCTCTCATTTCTCTCATTTTCAGATGACCCTCCTCCATTTATAGATGGCATAAGAATTAATAGCCCACATTATCTACAAAAAATTCGCCTTGATCCGAACGAAGCAAAAAGGTATGGCAAATTAGTCGTTAATGTTTAATGCTATTTAATGTATTTTTCTTCACAAAATTACAGTTACACGTTAGTTGTGTCTCAATACGAAAAAACAACAACAATTTACTACACACTTCGAGCATATTCACGTAATCCGTTTGAATTCAAGCCTATAGGCCAACAAACAAGTTAGTAACGTTTTTTATCAATTTTAACGTTGAAAAATGTAACGCTTTTACCCAGCGATACGAACCGAAAACAAACCATTTTTTTTTGGTTTCACTTGAACTTGGTTTATACTGCAAATAGTAGTCTGCGATGAGCTGTACTGTGTGCATAGCAGCAACGTTGTACACTCATACATTCAAAGCATTGTCATTCACGTATACATAGCGTGAATGTATGTTCGCCATATAAACCATTTTCGGAACGTCCCGCTTGCTCCGTTTCGTTCAATACACAAATGAAACCAATTCGAGATACCGCTCCGAAACCGGTTTGCATCGCTGCTTTTACCCAAATTGGAGGTGAAATTGACCAAAGTTTTACCCGATTTCATCGTCGAATTAGGATGAAATTCAGGTGATATTTAACTGTGCGCCACGCCCTTATTAAATTTATTTTTATTGAATAATATTACTCGTAAAATATTTGCATATGAATCAACATCCATATTGATGTAAAAATCATATAAAATTTTCTTTTAATTTTTGTATGCGTATATGTAAACATGTCGGTAAGTCCATCAACAATACCTCAGCAATGTGAAAACACAGTTGACCACACGTTGTGAGAAGGGATTGGCGTACTTCTTGCAAATGAAGTGCTACCAATTCAATCAGGAACCATACAGATTATTCAAATTTGATCAAATCGACATTCGAAACGCAATCATTCACTGGAGTGAAGGTGATCCAGTTCGAAAATCGAAAATGAATGAGCTGTTTGTTGCGGTGAAAGAACGTTGTTTACCATCATTTGGCGAATATCTCATCGAGAAAAAGTGGTTTTCATTTTTCCATCCAAATACAACGTGAAATTAGTGAGTTCAAGGAAGAACATCGAAAGCTGGTGCATGTTTGGCTGCGACACAAGAAAAATCCATCGTTGTGCGAAAAACCGACGCAATGACTGCCGCCAAAGATTGGCAATTTCACCGATGTACCGCTATGTGATAATAAACTCAAACACATCAAATTCGATCATAAGGAATTGTTAGCACTATTGGCTCGATGGAAAGTGATTCCAGAAAAATTGGGTGGCAAAGATGATGGAGGTAATTTTGTATATAGCAAAAATTATTTTGAAGAATACCCATACGACGCTTGGAATATTTTATACGACATGAAGAAAATAAATGAACTCAAAAGACCAAACCAACAATTTCACCGTATTCGAATCACCAAAAACGTGAGAAGACCGAATTCAATCGCGAACGAATCAAACAAAAACTTAAAGCCGGTGATTACACGTATATCATCCCACTTGATCCCGGCGTGAACACATACTATGCTGGATTTCGTCGGAAAATTGAAACTTGTGTCGAAGTGAGTTGATTTAATAATTTTTTTTATTAACATTCTATAATTTTCTCGATTCAATGTATTGATTGTTTTTATTTTTAATGTAATGATTGTTTTTATTTTGGTTTCATTAAATGAAAACATCAAAATATCACCGAAACAGTGCCCGACAAGATATTCGGGACAAAAAAGCGAAGCGCATGACAGCAACATTCACGAAGATGGAACAGTCCGATCGCGAGGAAAACTATCTATCAATACCATCACCACGCGGAAACGGCTGGATATTAGGGTGGAACATTTTTGGCATAATTTTATGGCCACTTGGAAAAACATGTCTTATAGTCCCCAGATTCAAGATATGAAGGAGTTTTCAACTTTCGGTTCCATATAAGACAGCGACTTGAAAGGAATGGAGGTACATTATACTGGAAAATTATGAAAAATTGCAGTGACCCAATCACCATGAAAACTTTTGAAACTTATTTTCTGACCAAAATAAGTAATATCACCAAGTTTCATGAAATTTAAACCAAAAATAAAGATGCCTCCTTAACTACTTTTTTTGGTTGACATTTCATGAAACTTGGTGATATTACTTATTTCAGTGCTTATAAAACGCACGATCAATGCGATACGTAACTCAATGTGCTGAGTTTTCGAATGTACGGTGCGCTTGTCCACTCACCGAACAAGTGCGAGAGCAACTCACTACTCGCTCAAGTCACATTATGAGTGAGCAAAATCTCGCTCGCACCACTTATACATTTACTTAAAAATAAACATAAAAAACATTATACAAAATGAAGGATATGAGGGAATTTTTTTTCGTCTTTTTGACTCTCTTTTTGCTGTTACTAGGCATGTTGAAAAAAAATATTGAATTTTTTTCCGTCTTTCGACCGTCTTTCTGGTACTACATGGCAAGCTTTTATGAAACTCTCGGAGACTCGTTACAATGCAAAAAAATATTGAATTTTTTTTCTAGCATTGTGCTAGCAAAAATACGAAAAAAAAATTCACTTTTTTGTGCACTAACATATGTTCATAAAGTTTTGGCAGTAAATTCAGGCGTTTATTGCGCCACATAAACATAATCAAAAATATCAACCCTAGGGGCTTAATACGGCAAAAAAATTCACAGGAATTCACGTAAATTCACACTTTTGAATCGAGTGGTTATTGATGAGTTCGGTGAATTCGTGTGAATAGAATGAAATGTGTCAAATTAATAAAGTGAGGTTATGATAACCGCAACATCTTTTAATTTATTATTTTTTCAATATTTTCGATTGTTTTCGATAGAAAATCGCTCAAAACTGAAAATAAAATTAATTTTTATTAAAAAAATATAAAAAACATTTACAATTTTGTTACACAAAATATAAATATTGCAGTAATTACCAGCAGAAACTATTCACCACTATCTCACATATTTGAATGAAATCGCCGTAGATTTCACCGGAATTCATTCGTTTGCAGAAAAATTCAGTTAATTTAGATATTATTATAGAATTCAGTCGTTGAAAATTTTGAATTAAGCCCCTAGTATCAACCAATGCACACGGCACGTTTATCAGTACCTCGGGACTACTATCAAACTCATTCGATGAAATACATCCATTCGCGGAGACGTACAAATTGGATTTACGAAAAAGTGTCTCAAATGGTTGTGGCGGCTAAGTTCAAAACAAATTTCGCATGTGTCTAAAGATGAACCCATCTGCCTACGAACCATATATTGTGTTTCATGGACTTAGTATGAAGACAAAGATTCTAGAGAAAGCAAAAAGTACGGTCGTATTCCCTATTTAAATGCTCCAACCCTCCAAAATTGTCATCAAGTACCGAAAACCGGGTTGGTCAAGCAAAAATTCGTTTTTAGTGATTTTTATGGTTACAGCACATCAAAATTTGAACCAAAACAATAGATTTAGACCCGGTCATTAGAAATCAGCAAAATAAGTAATGAAAAAATTCAATAGGGTGTCAAAAATTGGGTATTTACTTCACCTCATAGCATTTTGCACTGAAAAATTCATCATTTTGGACAGTGAAACATTCATCGCTATGTCGAACCACGAATCAAGTGCAAGTGGTTTCTTTTGCATTGATTATGTTAGGGCACTACTATATAAGGCTAGAGACGTCGACAAACCGAACTTTGATAAAGGCGTGTTTGTATGGTAGGATCTTCTTTGGAAGGTGTTTTAGAGCCAATATTCGAGAATTTGGTGCTGAAACGTAAGGTAAAACCTCCATTACATGCTCCATTATCAACCAATTGTTGTTGAAATCGATAGAATTCATTGAGAACTATCTGATTTAACACAAAATTTTGGTTTGCAAGCAGAAAAAACCACAACTATCTGTTTAACTTCACAAAAAGACACCAAATTAATTATTTCTCGTCTGTTTTTGGATGTAAGTTATGGGCGAAGGTCCAAAATACTTGAAACAAGCAACAATTAGCGGGAAGGTTCGAGAGAAAGTTGAAAGAAATCGACATATTGGTCCGCCAAAGCATGATTTTGAAGGTTCGACGCATACTGAGAAAAATCGAAGACAATGGCCCGTAAGGTGAATGCGCTATTCGTAGCCCATTTAATGAAGGTTTATACCAATAAAAAAGAATTTAATATTGTATGTTTGTTGTTCAAATGGCGAACATCTGAATTTACTGTCAAGACTTTATGGACATATGTTATATCGAGTCTCCGAGAGTTCCATATAAACATGCCTAGTAACAGCAAAAATAGACTCGAAAAGACGAAAAAAAATTCGACTTGAGCGAGTAGCTACTAGCTACAGTGAATCTAATATTTTTGGTAGACAAAATTTTGCATGACACACTCCACTCACACGCCATTCGTATATGAATCCTATGTTAGTGGAGAGTTTCTCTGCTTACTTTGCTTGTTATTTTGTCTATCAAAAAAATTAGATTCACTGTACTCACTCAGTTTTCTAGTTGAGTGTTGTTTGCAACTCACATAAGCGACTCAGTGACGTGTAGCGCTCACTATACATTGAGTTATATGCTGCTCCACGAGAATGCTCGGTGAGATGCGGTAGCACTGATTTATTTTGGTCAGAAAATAAGATTCACAAGTTTTCATGGTGTTTTTTTTTTCTGCAATTTTTCATGATTTTCTAGTATAATGTACCTCCATTCCTTTCAAGTTGCTGTCTTATATGGAACCGTAAGTGGAAAATTCCTTCATATCTTGAATCTGGGGACTATAAGACATGTTTTCTCAAGTGGCCATCAAGATATGCCTCGAAATTCGAAAAAAATGTTCCACCCTGGATATACTATCTTGATGATCGATTGAAAATGATGGAGGATGGATTGGTGGCATATGCTCGGCAACAATTTGCACGGCTATCGTTGGACAAGTAAGACCAAACGCTGCCCGGGAACACGAAGTCTTGAAAACAGCGTCAAAAAACTACATCATTCAGATGTCATTACCGCCGCTAATTGTGTCAAAAAAGGGCTCACGACGCAAAACATTGGACCGTTGTGTGAAAAAGTTGATCGATAGAGGTCTAGTAAATCAAGAAAAAAGAATTCAAAGCAGAGCGATTAGTGTCACCCAAAATGTACTATACAGTGAATCTAATTTTTTTGATAGACAAAATAACAATCAAAGTAAGCAGAGAAACTCTCCATTGACATAGGATTTATATACGAATGGCGTGTGAGTGGAGTGTGCCATGCTAAATTTTGTCTACCAAAAATATTAGACTCAGTGTATATTGGAAAAATTGACCGCTAAACTCTGTAAATGCACTTCAAATGGGAGAAGATGCTGCGAATTGAAAACCAATGATTATCATCAACAACAACAGCCGGAACAAGAACATGAATACCGAGAGTACTGTTGGCTACGAACGTTCGTTCGTTCGTTCGTAGGCAATAGAAATAACATTTTGGTTCGTTCGTAGAAATTTAAAAATTAAATTGTGTTCGTTCTTTCGTTCGTTCGTAGGAATTGAAAAAAAATGTGTTCGTTCGTTCGTTCGTAGATTTTGAAAAATAAAAATTTCGTTCGTTCGTTTGTTCGTTCGTTCGTAGCGATTTTTTATTTCAAATTTTCTCAATATTTGAAATATAGATCTGACAAACCCGAGATGTTAATAGAATTGTATTATGAATGATGATATTTTATTAGGATGCTATTCACTATTAAGACCAATCATAATACTCATATCAACATGAATATTATTTATTAAGATCGATCATAATACGGCGTATTACAATGAGTATCAAGTATTATAATACCGAAGTTAATACCATTTGCAATTTTGCACAGAAAATACAAGTGTGAGTTGTGTGTTAATAGAATGTCGATTGTAAACAAGTATGAATGCAAGGGTGAACGAGACAGCATGAAAAAAAGATTTGCCAAGCACGATTTGGGTGATAGAGATGATACATTTTTACGTTCTGTTCACAATACATGATAAATATGACTCAGCTGTTTTCGAGAATTGTTTTGTGCTCGATACCGAGAGTTTCATATAAGGTTGCCATTTAGCAGCCAAATAACACCCATTAAATAATATGCGAATGGAAATCGTGATTGAGATAATAAGAAATGCGATTTTTTTTCATTCTGATCGGACCAGGTAGTACAGAAAATTGAGCAGTATTTGAAAAACGAAAAAAAAATCTTGAGATTGTTTACCATCTATATTATTGGATTATTGGATTAAAACGGGGAGTGTCCTATTTAAACAGTAAATTTTAATATAGTTACTCGTTGCTCAAGTTTCATAACTTATTGCAAGACGCCCGTGTGTGTATTGAATACACGAGAATAGTCTTTTATCCAAAAATGTTTCTAAGGCATGGATTTTCATCGCATGCCCGTTTGAAAAACGTTACCAATTTGAATACATTCGGTGCATGAATCAAAGGGTAGGATCGCCAGCCCGTGAAGTCAGCCCGTATAGTATCCAACATTGGACAGCAGTGGTTTCCCCTTCTCCACCACACAGTCTACAGTCCGGGTCATCTCTGAGATTTAGATTTCTCATATGAGAATTGACCCTGGCGTGCCCGGTCAGTAAACCAATTACCATCCGGAGGTCTTCCTTAGGTAATTTGGCTAATTCCATCGTGAGTTTTGAACATGTGAATTGAACGAAGTGTTTCGTTTGCTCACATGAGAACGTACCCTGCCAATTTGGGCGGGATCTGTTGCTGAGCCAAGTAGCTAATCGGTACTTGACTCGTGAATATTCAATTGGTATGTGTGGTTCTGGACCCTCTATTGATCCGTGTGCAGCCAATTTTGCCGCCCCATCTGCCAGGTCATGCCCCCGAATACCAGTATGAGATTTGATCTAAACCACTCTAAGGTTGTTCGTTTCAGAAATGCACTGGAGTGCCTCGTAACAGTTCATAGCCAAGCCATTTTGCATCTTAATATTCTTAAGATCAGTTATGGCTCCAAGACTATCTGTGAAGATAGCTATATTTCCCCGTATTGGGTCCCCCAGTATTTTGTATGCACAATGAATAATTCCAGATATTTCCTCCTGTTTGACTGTTGTTGTTTGTCCCAGGGAAATGAATAGGTAAGGTTCTCTGTTTCACTACCTGTTTCTCTGACAGAACCATCAGCGAAAAAGGAGTTTTGTGCCCATTGTTTTTGCTGGAAGAATTCATTGAGACTTTTTGTTATAATAATCTCGAAACTCCTATCGAAATTGTAGGAGGTCGTAATTAGTTTGTCAGAAGGAGCCCCTAAAATTTTGTCAATATTGAAAAGATTTGTTAGGGCATCATCATGCAAATTT